TCTTTAACCAGAAGGCCCCCACCATCTTTAAAAGGAGCCGGAGGTAAATCATCTGGGCCAGGTGATTTGTAGCCTCACGATAGTTGGAGTTTCTTGTGGACTTCCGCCTCATTTGGTGAATCAGTCGTCACCGGTCATGGAGGACAGGACAGTCTGACCGATGTTGCCGGAGCAACAGGCCAGTTGAACTGCCCTTCAAAGAATTCTGCCCATCGTCCAACACGTCGATATATGTTAGTGATTGGTATCCCGTCATCCTTACATATTTCTTCGCTCACAGCAAACTTCTTGCTGCCAGTGGCTCGGATGAGTTGGAAGAGCTTCCGGTAGTTACCAGATGCAGTTGCTGCTTCCAGCTCATTAGCACGCTTCGACCACCAGGCTTCTCGGACCTTACGCAAGCTTTGCCCAATTTCCTTACGTAACATCCTTCGTTTATGGTCAAACTCACGGTCACCCGGAGTAGACCGACGGGCTTCAATGAGTTGTAAGGAACCAGAAGAAACCCAGTGCTCAAAGGCGGCACGTTTTGCGAAGCCGCAAGCGGTTTTACTCGCCAGATGAAGATGCCACAGGGTCCCCGGATAAGCGCATGTAAAATAAGCTTTTTCAAGCGACAGATGGAGATCGAGTTTGTTGTACTTCACCAGAGTCTTGAATACGGGTCTCGGATAGACAACAAACATCGGTATTAAGACTTTCTAAAGACATAGCCAGCCCTATCTGTTGTACAACCTGCATAAGTGTGCGAACGTTGAAGGCAGCCAGTTTGAATGGTGCACGTAGTTCCAGAAAAACTGCTTCAGTATTCATATTTGGTGATAGCATACAATTTTCAACCAGGCAGTGACTCGAGAACGTTTAGATAGAACCGAGTTTCCACCATAGGCGAGCTGCTGTATAAGTCGAAAAACAAGGATACATAAAGCAGGAATAAAAGAGAGTGAGTAAATGACGTAGTAAATAATAATAATAATAATAATAATAATAATAATAATAATAATAATAATAATAATAATAATAATAATAATAATAATAATAATAATAATAATAATAATAACGTGAATCGCTTGACTGTTAATCGAAGCAAGCATAGTATTTTCCGTAAATATTGTCATTTCATTGTTTGTGTGTAGGCTGTGATACTGCCCACGTGCCCAAACCGAAGCAGGTGATTTTCTTAGGGAGCCACACCCCGAGCATTTGACCTATAGGTCTGACCCACAAGGCAGTGTAGCATCGTGAGGATATGCAGTCCCATGGTAGCCGGTGACCAACGATTGGTTTATACCGTTCATTTGTTCCTTCAGGATACTGGAGCACATGTGCACCATTGGTTTGGTGATTAAAAGTAGTTGTTGAAAATTTTACCAACTACGTTGACACAATTAAAATAATTCACATATTTTGGTATCTAAGCGATTTTCAACACTAATAAATGTGTGCAATTTTCACAATTTTATACCTTTCGATTACGATATCAATACAACATTTGTATTGAATCCACTTTATGTAATTTGTTAATGATTCGCAAATTGTCCACAATCAGATTGTTCCCATATTTCCTACTAGTTTAAAATTATGGTCGGTGTTGTAAAATGTAAACATACTTAGTACATTACCATTGTATATGCAGTCAAACACATACACACACATACATTCAAACAAACATTGAATCATTAGTGTTGATTAACTAGTCTAGCTTTACTACAACTGAACATAAATTATTATCACCATCATATATACATACATTTATGGACATACTTAAGTGAACTACATAACAGGAAGAAACTATTAAACAAAACACCTAATCGTGGTAATTAGATTATTATCATTACTGTTACTACGGTTATTACGAATAAAGCCTACTACCACCAACATTACCCACCACTCTGATCCAGCTTGAAAACAACTAGAGTATATCCATAACACAATGTCCAGAATATATTTCGTTTTGGATAATAACTTGAATGAATGAATGATACTCTAATCACACGCACACACACAGATACATACATAGAGGGATGAAGGAATCACTTTTGACTGTTTGATGGAATTGCACATTTTTATCAATAAAAATGACATTCATCATGTACATGAAAACATCTGGAACAGGTGGTCAATGTTTAGAAATAATAGTGAAAACAAAGAGCAGAAAAGAAATCTGAACCTAAATCGTGTTGTACATCAATTATTCACATATGTCATAGGTTTAAATCACGAGTCAGTTGAAGCTAGACCACCATTGAAAACCTGGAAGCACTGGACGGCCGTTTCGTCCTGGTATGGGACTCCTCAGCAGTGCGCATCCACGATCCCGCACCACGCGGGGCTTCCAGGTTTTCAATGGTGGTCTAGCTTCAACTGACTCATGATTTAAACCTGTGAAATTTCTTAAATTCTCCACAAAACCTATTCTGATATTCACATATGTATTTACTTTTTACACTATGACTAACAAATGGGTAAGCATATATGGTAAGCTTATAGAAACTGTTCAATTCGATCATTATCCAACCTCTCATCAGAGTGCACCGATGACCTCGATGTTAAGGTGTCAGACCCCAGAAATTTATGTTTTCATTGCATTCACGTACGGCAACTTGAACCGATGCACATGTGTGCCTGGTCCTACGTTGTAGATGACTGACTGGTTATGCGATTTCACTGGAATTTCGTGGATTCCGCTCGTAATGAATCACTGACGAGAAGAAAATTATTATTATTAATAGTGTACAAGATTTTTGAGGACTATCCAACTCTGAGTTTGTATTACGCATTACATTTAGCTAAACAACTACTATGAACACTAGAAAGATGTTTAGCTCTAGTATGACAATAATTAACAGTGGTGAGCAACCACAGCCCCAACAAGAATCTGAGTTAAGACGCTTCATGGTAAAAGAAAATCGAATTTATCACCCAAATTAAACTTGGGCCGTTTACAAACGATATTTAATGAATAACACAATCGTTTAACAACACAGATAGCTATGTATCCAAACAAAATGAAAATACCTTTTTATGCAGTGACCTACTCCACCTACCTATCTAACTCATGAGATTTGATGACACACATTACAACGCTTAATAAACATTGTTATTATCCGTCTGATAAAGTCTAGCTACTACTTAGTGCGTGTATGTTTATAACTGACTATTATAATGAGATCTCAACACGAAGTGAATTTCACAACAACGTAATCCATACTCAATGAAGAGTCAGTTAGTCAGTCAGTAATATGCAACGTAGAAACTGACACATACATGTGTCATCGGTTCAAGTCTCCAAAGATTATCAACGCAGAAATATGAAATCATTAAAACAAATATCAAAGTAGTGAAAGTAGTAACAATACCAATGATAGTAGAAAGGACCAGGGATAGATAATATGATTCGAGAAGAAATAAAATGAATTTATTAAATAAAATAAAATTATACGATAATTTCAAAACTCAAGATCTAATAAAAGATAAGAAGTGAATGCATCTGTGCTATTGTTACCAATTCCTAAGGCATATCACCAAATTATAACATCGAGAAGAACATGTAAACCGTTGTTGATATTATAAAATAAACTGAGAAAAATTGGAAACAAATTTTTGAAATAATCATAATAATGATGAGAATGATATTTACTCCTCCCGCATAAGATGGATGTTTCTTTGTACAACTCAAATAACGATACTAACTAATTATATCACTTTTCAGTTTAACAAATTCATAATGTATGTCATGCTATCTCATCAATTAAATAGGGGAATAGGTCATTTAAGGAAATGCATTTGCATTTTTTTGGATACATAATGCGTTATGTTCAATAATTGTTTAATTCATTTACATCGGGGTTACATTAATTAACTCTAATTTATGAAAGAAAAATAAATTGAACATACACCTGAAACAGAAATTGTTCATAGAACTAGTCATTTATCAGTCAGTCAATGATGGTCAATGTAAGATCTGGTAGTGACGCGTATTAACCTAAATTCTTCAGAACATATCAATAAACGATGACACGAATTAACCAGATCAATAAGAAAGAAGTCGAAATGATAGTCGTACCGAAGGTTTATATACTGTGTCACGGTCACACTTTTTGGGCAGGATAGGTTTTAAGTGGGGAACCAGTCAAGAAACTCTTAAAAAAGACAACTTCTAAGACTTTGATTCTATGTTTAACAGGACGGATAGAAGTCTATCTTTGTAATAATTATGTATTGCATTCACGTGTGAAATACACCAAACAAACTGACTTCCGCATTACATAGTATAAACACGCGCATATATGCCACTTCAGGAGGGTAAAATGGTCTCCATCCCCATTAACGGTATTTGCTAAATTGCTTGCGAAGGCGGACGGAGGCCGCCCTCTGTGAAATAGCGACGTTGTGCGTACTTCTCACAAGCATAGATGCCATTTAGTATGAAATCCCAGTTATACAATAACATATTATATACATGAAATAGATTGGTCTGGGACCCGTGTACTTCCAACATATATGTAGGCATAAATGAGGTCCCCATAACGGTTTTTCTCTTTGGGCAATTATACACAATATAAATACCTAAAAAAACACCAAATCGATCTATGGGTCTCAGTGCATACGCAGACATGGATATCCCGCCCTGAGTTTGCCAGCCATGTGAGATAAACAAACTTGGTATGATCTGATCCTACAATTGAGTGCTTGATCAGACCGCTCTCTCCATCGACCGCTCAAGTTGGTTTATGAGGCACAACCTTCAAGATTTCTCACGTCATCACGGAGAAGCCTGGGTAGGATTTCGCTGTTGTAGATATTAATCCAAATGCTAAAACAGTGGAAATAGATGAGGTGGAGTTCAAAAGTCAAGTGTTGTATTGTGTGACCACCAGAAATCATTTATTTCAAAATACAACAAACAGTGTACAATCTGACTAGAAAAACGAATTTATTAACAAGTAAAAAAAAGACCAATACTAAACAAATCAGAATCCAATAGAAATTCAACTTACCCTTTACGGATGCTGTACGTTTACAATTGTATAATAAAGCTAATTCACCAAAACAACGACCAGCTCCCATAATATACAAACGTTTACCACCTTTTGAAACTTCAAATTCACCCTCTGTAGAAATTTAAAAATAAAAAAAATAAGTTCGATAAGCGTGAAAGATGTCTAGTAATCTCAGTCACTGATACAGATATCATGGGACGAGTAGTACGGAAGTATAACTTTTGAAGTTATTATACAAAGGATTATTATTTGTAATTTTTCTGTATAATTAATAAATACTTTGACAGTCATATTTCTATGTTCTCCTATTTGTAATCTTTTATTTGATCTATAAATCATTGTCATATATTTACGTGTTCCAGATTTGTCACTGATAGTCATTACCCTTATACACTGACCTTGTATCACTTATGATGACCAAGTTATTTACACATATTCATTTCTTGTTTTGTTGTGTTTTCAGGCATTTCAGTTATGCTATAGTATTTGCTTTTTATCATACATTTTTGGCTGGCCACTGGGAGCCTGAGGATCAATAAGAGAAAAATTCTTGCTTGTTACTCATTGATCGATGTGTCAGTGAGTACCTGGAAGGTCACCGACCCACTAATCGATAAACGAACAAGAGAACGGGGGGAGAAACCACACAATCGCTTTCATGTCATTCCGGTCACACAGGGCCCTATACAACCACAAGCAACGTTTATTTTCTGACGCAACAGGTAAGTAATGTAGAACCTGGCATATATGTAGATCAATTCAAGTTGCCACGATCCAATAGTACAGAGGAATGAAATCTCCAAAACAAATCAAAGAGTAGTACAGATAACAACAGCATAACTGATAATAGAAAATATTAGGCATCGATGATACTAATTAAGAAAATATAAATTAGTGGGATAAAAAATCATTTATGAAAAATTTAGAAACGTAAAATCTGAGAGAAAATTGAGAGCAAATGCATCTGTGCCATTAAGAACGATTTCGAACAATACCACTGAAAGTTTTTAACAATCGGTTGCAATAATTACACAGACCCCAATCAAATAGCCTGCATCTACCCACACCGTTCAGTTCAATAACCATGATCTTCATGGACTGATACCATGTCATTGTTTGCCCACTCACAGCTTTTTTACAATGACTTATACAGTAAGACATTTTTATGGTAACATAGTGATTGTTATATTCATTAAAACAGACTGGAGTTAGGAATGCTGTTATAACTCGAATTTGTAAAATACAGTTTTCATCATCACAACTCGTTTATTTATTGGATAATTAAATCCATAAAATGAATCCATTCAACTTTAGGATATTTGCCCAAATTAATATAAGTCTATGATTTATCTAGATAATACGCAAATCAGAGTAAATAACTTCATCAACAGGCCACATAATTTCTAATTGGATGAAAACATTTTTTTGATGCACTTCAAGGTATTTTCACAGTTTAAACCTCAAACTCAATTTAGTTAGACTACCACTGAAAATCAAGAAGCACTGGACAGCAATTTCATCCTGATGTAGAACTTATTAGCAGTGCATATGCACATCCACACAGGGGATTAAACCGAGAGTCATAGATCTCGTGTACAAACGCTTAACCGCTATATTGATCTAAGCTAGTAACCAATTCTGTACATATCTAACTCCAATACAGTTTACACACAATAATGAAACATGCAGAGGGAGAAAGAGAGAAAAGTATATATAGAGAATTATTTGGGAATATTGTAAAACCCACTTAAAAGAAATCAATAAGTACTCAATTAATCCTACTATAAATAACAATAATAATAGAGAAGAAACTCAATATTATTTGTCGTTGAAACATTTCATATCTAATGGGAATAATAAATGAATATACTTTGAAGAATTAGAAAACAATAGAAATCCAAATGGAGAGGAAAAAAAACCCCCAAGAAACTAGAATTGGAGAAAAACAATAAAAGAAAATGGAGAAGTTCAAATGACAAAACAAAACAAAATAAACAAACAAACAAACAAATGTATTGATCATTCTACTGTTTACAAATGAAATGTTTCTATAAGATTAGATTGGGGACAATGTGGGAAGGAAGGAGGGAAGGAGGGAGGGAAGGTGGGGGTAAACGAAGAAAGGTTTAAAAGAACAACAGGAAACAGATAATTCTCTTCTTTTTTTTTATAAAAAAAATTAGAAATTGCATAGAATAATTCAATGCTGAAATTCAGCTGACTAAATTAATTGATCAATGAAAACCTACTTACGCCTGTTACCCCACGTCGAGGAGCATAGGCCACCCACTAACAATCTCCATCAATGAATGATAAGGTTAAATTTATATATAATTGATTAAGAAGTTAATATGGTGGTCTGATCGCACTTCTCAGTCAAACTAATTGTGAAAATTATATCAATTAAAACTTTCTTGACTAATTATTTATTCTAAACATAATATAATGATGATAAAAATGCTTATAATTGATGGCAAATTTTTTTTAAAAAAAATCAACATTCGAAAGTAGTACTATGGTGTGGGTTACTTATATCCACATAAGTAGTATATAACAGTGGTCAGGCATAGAATGTATTTCAGTAGAAGATCGATAAGGAAAGAACGGAAACGGAATACAATTGATATATGAAAATGCATGAACAATCAAATCTGAGATGATGGACTGATATTTGCAAAACAAACGGTCAAGTTTGAGATGATGGATTAATATTTGGCAAATTAACTATTTACTATATGGTTCTCAGATTTTAGTGAGATATTCTGTAATTTCGTGTTCGAATACATTCGATTGCCTTCACTCGTGTTCTTGTTCACTACATTATTACAATGATGATTTTGTTTGTTTAAAGAAACAACACAAATGATTACAATGGAAATTGTCTATTCAAAATAGACATTATGCAATCAAAAATCGATATCATAGAAATAAAATTGATTGAAAATATTACCAAATGAAAATAAACAAAATTAGATACCATTAGAAAATACATTTTATACATATCTGTTGTTAATAATTTCAACTTAAATGGGTGTGAAAGAGGAACTTTGTTGGAATATCCCACATTTCCTATTGATATTAATACTTAATAAGATAATTTCACTAGATTATTTTGAACTATAAGAGAAGTCTAGGGAGTGTGTTTTCATCAAACCATAAAGTAATGAATATTGAACAAACCAAATCTTAAAGATGTGCAACAATTCGACTAATTTTATGGGAATATAATCGTAGTAGCCATTAACAGTGTGATTATATACATAAGACAAACAAACCACAAATTGCTGTAATAAAAAAAAACAATGACAATTAACAGTATAAATTATGATCACTGAATTCTGAACGTATCGAATTGGAGACAGTTACCTGAATAAAACAATAGATGACAGTACCACAGATTAATTGGACTTAGACCTGTATCTCATTGGGTCCCGCTTTGCCAGTTTAGATTGAAGATTCTGAGCCCGATCTACTGGGGCGGGGTTATGAATGCTCACTCCTGAGTAGTTTGCTACTACGACGATACGGACAACCGGTGCTTCCTGGTCTAACTTATACCAGTTCGTGATATTAATAAAATTCAGTCATCTCCACAACGTCAACACTGATAATCTTGTTCTCACTAGTGACTAACTTCGAAAGGGAATTTCAAGAGTTCTAGTCAGAAGCAATGATCAGTGGGATTAGAAAATGTAGGGATTAAGGATGATATCTAACTAAGGTAATGGTAACGTAATATCAGGAATATTGATAATGTCTTAGAAATAGTCGTACGTATCAATAACCATGGAAAATTATGGTATATTTTTGTACGATTCAAAAAATGAATACCTTCGATAAATGTAGACAATATAATGGGAAGACGAAGTTTATCAGAACTATGTGACATATATAATAATACAACACATTTAGGATAAAAATTTGACCAAATATCTATTTCAATAGTTGAGATCATGAGTCGATTGAAGCTAGACCACCACAGAAAACTTGGAAGCACTGGATAGCCATTTCGTCCTGGTATGAGACTCCTCCTTGGCAGTGCGCATCCACAATCCCGCTCCCCACCCTCCAGTGCTTTCAGGTTTTCCATGGTGGTCTAGCTCAAATGAATCATGATTTCAACTATTAAAATTAATAAAATCTCCACAAAACCCCTTCTAAAAATATCTATTTGTTAAAACATTTTATGCATAGAAAATAAAAGGTCAAACTAGACAAACAGGAAGATAAATGAAAACAAAGGTATTGTATTAGAGAAAACAATGTGAAGAACACTATAATAACTAATAAATCGATATGATCAAGGTAGGTTCAAGGTTAGAGCGAACTCTTTGTGAAAACATAAAAAGGTTTGGATCTTCGTATGGCTAAGACTTTGATAAACCTTACAGTTCACCCTTGGGCACAATACCTCAAAGACTGATTTGATATTAAATCTGATCTCTCTCAGCCAAATATTTAGCCGTTTGTCGTAGACGCTTTGGGAACGCTTTGAGCAACTCTTGAATACAAACCACGATTGCTTTCTCCTATAAATAGTCAACAATGCATATATGGAAGACTGATAAACATAGTGGGAAGTGATACAGTTATTTACATGTTGTTTGAGTTTTTGATGAAGCATAGACCACATCATTTCATTAAAGATGAGCTGGACTATGCACAAAAATCTTAGTGTTCGTTGATTTGCGTCGTCGTTTCAAATTGAACATATAGCTGAATCATCTCTAAATAATAAGGTGATAAAGACATATTTTTTGGATGCTAAAAGTTTAGTAGGCCTTATTATATTGTGGTCTTTCTATCAATTTATGAACTTCAATGAACACATATTTCTCAGAAATGTTTCACTTAAAAGCTAGCATCTACGTCGATAGTATCGTTAGTGCAAAATACAATTCATCATATTGATAAATCTCTTTTATTAATCCTCGTTTGTACTGGACTGGACAATAACACTGAGAATTGAGATCCTGGGACATCCAATGTTAGATTTCTATGAATAGAACCATCATATTTTCTACTAATTGGCTCAGAAAAGTCAACAACAAAATACTCAAACTTCTAGCACATCAGTTCATTAATCTGTTCCCAATATTTTCAACTACTAATGTTTGATTGAACGATTTCTTTTGTGAAATTCATCCCACTAGTCAATTTTTAGGATACTGAGTCGATGTACTGTAAAACACAAAAAAATTATAAAAATGTAATGTTTTCGTTGAAACTATGATCAAGAGTAAAAATCTAGAAGTACTAGACGACCGTCTCGTCCTAGTATAGGATTTCCAAGCACTTTGTATCCATGACCCTCTATAGAGAATCGAACCCAGGATCTTTAACCACATATGCGGAAGCTGAACCTCTAGACTACTGAACTGAGAACAGAGAAAATCAATCTCAGTGTATATTTTATCTTTTTTTTTTAAAAGAAAGGAATCGTTTAAATTAATGTACTCTGTATTATCTAAATCAAAATTAGCATATTAATTATGAAAATAATTTGAAACACAATATAAATTGAAGTTTTTTAAAAAGACAACTTTGAATCTTGTATGTCAATTAGTTTAATTAAAACAACAATCACAATAACTTTTTAATGTTTTGATCACTATACAAACACATGATCCAAAGATCAGTTCAATAAAATTCACATTAAAAAAAAAAGAAGACGAATTGAGAAAAATGTGACGTCTATTTAAAATAGACTTGTGAATACAAGTGATACAACTACTAGAAAAATCAGAGTTTCCCTCTCTCTCTCTCTCCCCCTTTCATCTTCAATCTCCAATTGAACCCTTTCTACAAAATAAATTAATCTGAAAAATTGAAGGAATGATGTAACTGACAAACCAATGTGTGTGTGTGTGTAAGTGAGTGAGTGAGTGAGTGAGTGAGTGAGTGAGTGAGTGAGTGAGTGAGTGAGTGAGTGAGTGAGTGAGTGAGTGAGTGAGTGAGTGAGTGAGTGAGTGAGTATATCTATCTATTATCTGTTTGTATTTTATCTTAAATTACTTTAATAATGTTGTACTATGACCAATATGCACTATTCAACCGTTTCAAATTAGACTGAAATAGTACTTTGATCATATTCTATGATAATTGAATTGTATTACATCATTTAGAGAATAATTCATTATTACAAATGACGTAAATTGTTTAAACAAAATTAGTTAATGTTTCTTTGTATTTACTTATTTTGTTTCCAAAAGGACTGATTTAGTTTAGTAGAATAAAGATTTAACTCTGTCTGTAGTTGTTCTAAGATTACTGTCAATTTTAAGTCTGAGTAAAGGAGGAGGGTTAGGCATGGGATCAGCAACCTCATCCATCTTGCTATAAAAAAAAACACGCTAACTAGTATGTAAGAGTGAAGAGTTAGTAAAAAAAAACGATGAACAGAATGAAGAAATATTTATAGTAGACAGTGAATCAATCAATAGATGGTAAGTAAAATGTAATGTTCAGATGTTATCTAGTCCCTTCAGTATTATTGACGATTCAATTATCATGATTGTCTTGTATATAAATGGAAAATAATAATAATAATCATTTGATTTGTAGTCAATTATTTGTTGCTTGTAATTTGTACACGTAAACATAAACTAATTAGACTACATAATTGATGAAAACAACAAAGAGTTGTTCGTAGTAATGAATGAATATACTTGCGTACCTGTACAAAATAATAATTCTGCACTAACTCTATGACAATCATAAATAGAGAGAGAGAAAAAGAACAAAACGAGATCTTGAGTTTGGTTCAATTCATTGTGGAAGGGTTATGAATGAACACTATTGAAGAGTCCTATACTAGAATAAAATAGTTGTTTAGTTCTTCCTCGAAATTCTATAATGTGAATAATCCCTCTTCTAATATTGAAAATGAAACTACATAAACAAAACGATAATGAACAATATAAGAATTAACGACGAACGATAAAATAAATGAATATGATTCATTTGTGACCAACAATGTTTGTACGCTTGTTTATATGAAGAAAACTGGGATGACATTACCTATCTACCTACACCCCCCCCCACACACACCAAATTACCCAAATACATGTAGGTGAAGCTAGGTTCGAACCTTAGGGTCTAATGATCGACGACTAACTGTTAGATAATACATTACACTTTTGGTATCCAAGACCTCGGTAGATAGAGAGAAAGAAAGAAGTAAACTTTGTTTACATCTGCGTTGTCTTGAATAACTTCCTGATAAATCACTATATCTGTCAACAAAAAGGATGTTGAGAATTATATATTTAGAAAAAAGGCACATTTTTCTAAACTATAACTTCATTTAATACACAAACTTATAAAACTTGTGTTGTTAAAAGATTCATTCAATTAGAAACATGACATCAGTCATTGAAGTAACTAACTTCTAGTCTGAGCCATATTCGTAGATGCAGTCTATTTGGTTAGGATCAGCGTGACTATCGAAACCAATGTAATAACTGTATGAACAAAATTTACGGTTAACAATATCATAATTTTGTTTATATATTAGTCACAGTTCTGAGCTAAATAAATAAACATTTGAGTCCATGTCGGATTACTGCTCAAATGTTTACAAACTCTGACTCCATTATTATTAAAGTTGAAAGGTCATAATACAACAGTAGTAATGATAACTTTGAATCAATTGAGTAAAATCATATGAATAGAGTACACAAATACGAGAATTATTGTATCATGATTATTTGTGACAATATAATTGTAATAATAATAATAACACTATTTGGATTAAGAAAAATGAATTTATCAGAATGAGTTTTGTGGAGAGTTTAGAAAATTTCACAAGTTGAAATCATGAGTCAATTAAAGCTGGACCACCATGGAAAACCTGGAAGCACTGGACGGCCGTTAGACATTAACACCGTTAGATGCCGGCTCAGTGGTCTAATGGTTAAGTGCTCGCGCGCGAAGCCAGTAGGTCCTGGGTTCGAATGCGCACTGCTGAGGAGTCCCATGCTAGGACGAAACGGCCGTCCAGTGCTTCAAGGTTTTACATGGTGGTCTAGCTTCAATTGACTCATGATTTAAACCTGTGAAAAATGAATTTGTAATTACGAATATTTCATAGGAAAAACGCTATATCGAGATGTATATGAAAGAACGTTGTGGTCAAACGTTTACAATATATACTTTAGAGATGAAGATAAATCAATGACTTTTGGACATAGAGGTATAGTTTCATTATGCTGATTCAATCATATCCTCTGATTACCACGACGTGCAATGCTGACTAGTATTGGGGATTATTGGAAGAAAGTTAGGGCCGGCCAAACCAAAACATGGCATCAGTGCTTGAAGTCACTAGTCAGTCAGTTAGTCATTCAGCTACAACGTAGGACCAGACACATATGTGCATCGGTCCAAGTTGCCATACCTCATTAACACAACAAGATGAACACCGGATTCATAAAAATAGTTAATTCAGTGGTGGTAATATATAAAAGAAAGATTACATATAAGGATATAGTACAGGAAGAAAGAATTAATTGGCAGAAAGAAAGATGTGAAGCAACTTTAATCTCATAGTTTAAAGGAAGACAAATAGTGTATACACCTACGCCATTGTGATCGATTCTGAACCATGTCACCAAAAGTCTCCAACCATTGGATACTATAGTCACACGGACCACAACCAAGTAGTCTTCATCTACCAACATGGTTCAGAATAACATTTAGTGACTTTGTTTTGGTTTGGCCGCTACTAACTTTCTTCCAACGCTTCCAAACACTAATCAGCATTACGTGTCGTGGTAATCGGTGTTCAGCCATATGCAACACATGGCCCAACCATCTCAGTCGATGAAGATTCACAATCTCATCAAGTGACTAACTTCTAGTCTGAGCCATGTTGGTAGATGCAGACTACTTGGTTGGGATCGGCGTGACTATCATATCCAATGGTTGGAGATTCTTGGTAACATGGCTCAGAATCGATCACAATGGCGTAGCTGTATACACTATTTGTCTTCCCTTAAAAATCATGAGATTACAATTACTTCATACTTTTCTTTCTAGTTCTTTCTTCCTTTATTATACCCTTACATGTAATTTCTCTTTCATATATTATCACCACTGAATTAACTACGTCTATGAATTTGATGTTCATGTTGTTGTGCTAATGAGGTATTGCAACTTGAACCGATGTACATATGTGCTTGGTCCTACATTGTAGCTGACTGAATGACTCTGTGTTATTGATAGAAGTCCATTTATGGTCCTTTCAGTAAATTCTTTCAGATATGACTAAATACTGAAAAGGCTTCCAATAACTTTATATTGTGTTTACTGTCTAGTAAATGAGGAATGATAATCCTATTATCAGAGTAGTTGACTCGTTTTCCTAGTCAAGCTGGGAGATTTTATTGAATATTTGAGGATGATGCCCACTGAGTTCAGACTATGAAATCGACCATAAAATAGCAGTTAAACTAACATAGCCATGTGCATAAGCCTAAAATTGATAATTAGTCCTTGACTCATCATATCCTTATTGGATTGGATCAGAAATGAAAATGGAATTCAACAGTATTCAACATCTTTTCACTACAACTATTGAGAATTGATCAAACTTATCCTTTCGTCACTTGAATTTATATCAAGCTAAAAATACACAGAAGTCGGTTGTTACAGTCTGAGTAAAATGAATCAATCCGTCTGAATGCATAATCTAAGCGATAACATATTACGTAATTCTGTTCACAGTTAGCTTTTAAAGTATGGGGAAAATAGGATAAGTGGGTAAATTGTAATTTGCCAGCGTTATATAATCAAGAACCGGGTGAATAAAAAAAGTGATACTTTTTAAGATAAGTATCTCTATAGAAAACAACTTTAACATAAATAAATAAGTCGTAGAACAACACCTATTTTAATAGGATAATAAATATACCTACCTTCACCGACATACAAATGTCCACCATCATCGCCTTCACGTATAATATAACAGTTAGCTGGTACTGTTTGCTCATGCATACAGGAGACAACCTCTTGTAATTGAACTGCATCTAAATTCTTGATTAAATCATTACTTCGTAAAGCTTCACGTATTTGTCGACGAGAACTACATTATTGAGAAAACAGAGAAAAACATAAATCAGAAATAAATTAATTTAGATAAAGATTCGTCAAAATTTTAAATGAATATTTTAAAAGTTAACATTCACAAGTCGATCTAATCTATACCACCATTGAAAATCTGGAAGCATTGGACGGCCATCCCAGCCTAGTATGGTACTCTGTAGTAGTGTGGACCCACGATCCCACATGCAGGACTCAAACCCAGGGCCTTCGGTCTCCCATGCAAACGGTGAACCACCTCAGTGCTTTCAGGTTGTCAGTAGTGGTTCAGCTTAGATCGACTCGTTAATTCAACCTTGAAAACACTACAATCTCCACAAATCCCGATACTAATTTTAATTAAACATAGAGGTATATAGAAGACATATATACACATTGTATTTGAATAATTTAAGTGATTGATATTTACATAATTCCAACATTTGGTGCACCAATCCGGTCTGCTGAACTTCTTTGCAAGAGGAAACATAATCGTAATCGACAAATAAATAATATACTCCCGTGAACGACTAGAATATTAGAATGTTACAACAAAGAATTTTCGGCCCTGAATAGATCACTAATTATGACAATGTGTGATAAATAGATTTTAACAAGAATGATTAAGGGATTGGAGTCTCCAGTTAGTCTATGGTTAGTTCTATTTACAAACATCCAAAGATTTTAATACGATACAAAGAATAGGGACTTGAATAGACCGAACATCTGTCACGGAACAACACTAACAGAGATGATACTTTCATAATGTTTTTATTTTCTGTACAGAAGTCTAATTAACAATTAAATAAATCTATTTTTATAGTAACAGTCAACGATTTTGAGGTATATTACAAAGCTAACGAACTTTAAACTATGACAATCAGTGAGATAACAGCGGAAATATGAATTTGAAAAATTTCATCAAGGTTATCCTTAATGTTACTAATATGTAAAATTATCAAAATGAGTTTTGTGGAAATTTTTAAAACTTTCATTGGTTGAAATCATGAGTCAATTGAATCTAGACTGGCAAGAGACCGATAGGTCCTGGGTTCGAATCTCACAAGGACGGGATCATGGATGAGCACTGCTGAAGACTCCCATACTAGAACGAAACAGCCGTCCAGTGCTTCCAGGTTTTCCATGGTGATCTAGATTCAATTGACTCATGATTTCAATCAGTGAAACTAACATGTAATAATAACAAGACTAGATAACCTAATCTCTTTTTAACTATAATATAAATTTGATATTCACAGGGTGACAATCATAGTTTCCTTGAGATTACACGTACATTTTATTAGCATGAATGCCAATTACTAAAAGAATCAATAGAATTTCCTGTAGATTCTATTTCATCAACAAACAAATTTCACTTTTTAATCTTCATTGTAATTTTGCTCTAAATAAGTGACAATTATTTGTTGAGTCTTTTAAATACATGCAATTGACAAACAAACAAACAAACACACACACACCCACCCATACAATGTAGTTCAGTCTGTTGTTTCTTTCTTTCTTATTCAAATATTCTCATCTTTAATAAGGAATAATAAACAGTCACTTGAAACGAAAAAATAAAGGATAAGAAGTTTTACTTCATTAGTTAGTTGTTAGGCAAGAAAGAAAAAAAACTATAAAATAAAATAGAAAAAAAGATGTAACAAATGATAAATGTTACATGGTTTAATTTATGAGTAGCATATTGAATAATCCATATAAATTAAATTATCTTGAAAATCAACTTGAAGATATTCATCATCATCATCATCATCATCATCATCATCATTATTGAATTGGATGAATGAAACTAATAAGAATTAGAATAAGAAGTTAATCAATTGAAAGTAATTGAATAGTAACAGTATAACCAATTTAAGTTTCATATTCTATTTATTACTTGTCACATATTAACTAATCTTCAATAATTTTAAAGAAATAGATGATTTCCATGTGAGAAATTGAAACATTTACAACATTATCAATGTTCTAGTTAGAGACATGTGATCAATGATCTATTTAGGTTATAATTTATTTCCTGTAGTAAAAACAATAGATGTATCTAAGAATAATTTAAATTAGCCCACAAATGTCCTGGTATGGCCGAGAGTGGGGAGAGTCCGCTCTCCTTCTCGAAATGCTCAAACATGGCCACGCGTATATAGCCTCTGTCAGGGAAGACCTACTCACTGCCTTCTCTCATCGGGGTGTTGTTTACGAAAATGAAAGGACGAAAAGCGAATGTTCGACTCTTTAACCGGATTCCAAAACAATGGTGCACATGGGCTCCAGTATCCTGCCGAAACAAATGGAGTATGAACCTATTGTTGGTCACCGGCTTCCATGGGACTGCATCTCCTCACGATGCCCCACTGCCTTGTGGATCAGACCCTCAGGTCGAAGGCTCCAGGTGTAGCCCCCTAAGAAAACCACCTGCTTCGGTCTGGGCACCCGGGCAGTATCACAGCCCTCACACATATCGAATGAAACTTGTTTGGCGCATATGTATTTGGTGCCTCCTTGTACCAATATCTATGTGTTAAAATAAATAAATAATTTAATTAAGTTTTTTTAAGTTATTTAGATTCGGTTAGATATAAAAGTGTTATATCCTAGTGAAGAGTAAATTATGGTTGACTTCTGAGAACTAGATATGAATCAATATTATACGTATATTCTTATTGCATAATCGTTAAGAAACTAAACTGTAGATCAGAAGTGATTTTGTGGATATTACAGTAAATTTATTGGTTGAGATCATGAGTCAATTGAAGCTAAACCACCACGGAAAAACTCAAAGCACTGGATAGCCGTTTCGTCCTACTGTGGGACTCCTCCTTGGCAGTGCGCATCTACGATCTCGAACCCCGCGAGATTCAAACACAGGACCTATCAGTCTTGCACGCGACCGTTTAACCACTAGACCACTGAACCGGCAGGCATCCAACGGTGTTAATTTCTAACTTCAACTAATCTACGAAAGTGAGCGATACATCCATCATTGTCCTCAGTTACTATCTCACAACAGATCTGGTTGAACTCCATTGGTCACTGATTTTCACTAGAACTCCAGGAAATAACTCTTGGAGACCGTCACTAGTGAACATATGTTGATTAATATCAGAAGGTTGATTTTGTGGATACTATAGTAATTTTAAAATTTGAGATCATGAGTCAATTTTAGCTAGATCACCATGCAAAATCTGGAAGCACATGTGGTCTAATGGTTAAGCGCTCGCGTGAGAAACTGATAGGTCCAGAGTTCGAATCTTGAGAGACGGGATCGTGGATGCGCACTACCAAAGAGGAGTCTCACAGTAGGACGAAACGGCCGTCCAGTGCTTCCAGGTTTTTCATGGTGGTCTAGCCTCAATTAACTCATGAATTCAATTATTAAATTACTACAATCTCCACAGAACCCCTCTCTGATTATAAAATTATATAATTGAATTACTCGTGTACAAAAAGCGATGGATATTTGCTATCACTTATAATTAATTGTTAAGAACTGAAAGCCTAATGAATGTTAGAAATTTTTTGATAATCAACAAAACATAAGGTTGAATTGAATTCCTTCAAGCAACTATTCCTCAATAGTTACACACATATCGAATACCTCATCATTATCATAATTCAAATAGCACCAGGATCAATGATATGGTCACTATTAATATGTTAAGATGAACATAATATCACTAAAATTTTGTTAACAATACTGGAACCTTACTAGAAACAATTTTCCACACAGCCATTATTTTTACCTGATTGATTATTATTGCTATAAGTTCAGCTAAATTTCTGTTTGCTTCAAGGTCATGCCTCTTGTACCATTCAGTTATGCTCTGCTTCTTCAACTTCAAATATCAAGTTTTCCTACAGTTCGTCGTCTCTCTGTGTTAGCGGACAAATGTTGAAGTGTTGTGCGTTTCTTACTGTTATCAATCTACACAACAGAACCAAACATATCAGAGTATTAGCTCAATCGCTGCCGATCCCACAAATATTGAAAGTCCGTACTAAACCCGAACTATTAAGACATAACATAATCTATCTAATTCGACATTATCTGAGTACGCATTCTATTTCTCTAAACTCTTTATACAATTAAATTAGAATATAATTATTAAATACTCCAACTTCAGTCATTACACTATATTACATTAACACTGATAATCCTCTCATACAATCAATATTTTTGGAATCAGACAGTGTCATGTCATCTTCACAGAACTTTGAGGACATTTTTTTCCAGACTAGAGAGCACATGAAGACCAGCTTTGCGATTATTATTAGGACCACGATCAATCGAATTCAACCATTACGGGTATGAGACAGTTATCCATTACAAGCAATGGACAATGGTCGTCTGATATCGTGAGTTGATTAAAGCTATACATGTGCACTATAAAATTCCTACTCAAAGGTCTAGAGATTAGGTTTTCGCGTGCAAAACCATAAGTCCTGAGTTCGATTCTCTACGGCAAGCTTGTGGATATACACTGGTGAAGAGTACCATACAAGGATGAAACAACTGTCCAGTATTTCTTGATTTTCCATGGTGGTTCACATAAGATTAGTTCGTGATCTAAAAACTATGAGGATTATTACAACGACATACAGGAAGAGATCCAGTTTCGAATGAATAAAAAGAAGACCATTTCACTAAGACAAAACACTAAGTGCTATTTCATTTATTACGTTGACAAAAGAAAAGGGCTACTGAATGTACTTCATACATTTGGTGACGAAAAAATTAAAACATATAAACATATACACACAAAAGCATACACCAATTCAAATTGAATATTGAACCAACAAACAATTCACATATCTACACAAATAATAATTGAGAGAGCAAATAGATACGGATACAATTCATGTAAATTCTAAGCACATAGGATACGCGAAATAGAGCAATTAAATGAGGAAAATGACTACTGTATATGTAGGTAGGGGTTGCCTGTGTTGTGAGTGAGGACCGCCCCCGGGTGTGCACGAACCACC